ATTATCAAAGTTTTTCCCAATTGCCATTTTATTCATGTATAATTCTTATACATTTTGATATTTACATCTTTAGAATCGCAAAATCTCACAGATTGTGTATAACTTTGTTTTGAGGTTGAGAGGAGAAAAAATTGTCAATAAAGAAAAACTAATACATTGAAGTGAGTGATAGAAATTTTTTTTTTCTTTTCATACTAATTTACAAGTAATTTATTATTTTGATTTGGAAAACAAATTTTTTAAAGGACGAAAATAATGTAATTTATACTCACATTTTCCATAATAATAACGAAATGAGAATCTATTTTTGTATTCATCAAAATGATATGAGAAATTTCAAAAATTTAAGATGATGTAGAAAGTGGATTATTTCAATGGCGCAAATTTTATATTAATGTGTATTTGAATATGCAGTAGAAAACTTAGATATGAAATTAGTCTAAAAACTACCAAAAATATTTTTTAGAGTGTAAAGTGGCGCCTTCATAATATGAAGAGAATTTTTATTATTTTTAATTCATGGTAATAATTACATAAGTGTATAAAAAGGAGATCAGTATTAGAGACAGGAAAGTTGAATTTTTCTTAAAAGTACATATAAAATAATAAAGTATGCGTAAATTGTTACTACTGCCACTTGAGCATGGGCCGCATTATGTGAGAAATGTTTTAATTTACAATTTTGCCGCTGTTTTTTTTGTTTCAAAAAGTAAAACGAGTAGAAAACTAATTCACCACAATACCTGTAAAATGTGGAAAAGATTTAGATTCTCTTTTTAAAATAAAAAATTCTGTAACTATACAAAATAAATTAAAATATTTTTCTTACTTAATTGTAACTGCAATTTTTTCCACTATTTTGAGAGTACCTCTATTTTCATCATTATTACTCGTATGTAAATGATGTTGCGGAATTATAGTTAATGCTGTTCCAACTGCCTGATGGCTGCCTGACTCTAATTGATTTGAAAGTGTTGCTATTAGCGTTGTTGTTGGCCAAATACATAATTTTGTTTATACCTTTAATAAGAAAATTGTTTTAGCCATGTTGGACTATATTCACCATATTGACTTGCAAAACAAAATATACCTTATTTATATACAAACATAATTGGAAATATATGTATGCAAATATGGTCAAGACCTCAAAAAAAATTAATTTTTCAAAAAATATTTAATTATTTTAAATAAATTGAAATTTATAAACGATTAATTTTGCTTCAGGCAAATTTATTTTTTATTTCTGTGAAAAAAAAATATTATGTAAATTATTTAAATTAAAAAAAAATTAATATTTGTTTTTAATAAATAAAATTATTATTGGTTTCATAATACGTAATTAATGAGTACGTTAAATTTACATTAATTAATTACTAACTAAATAACAATCAATCAAACGCATTAAAAGCATTTACTCGCGTATTTGTTTGCTGTACGTGAATTTTTACAATAAAATTTTGAATAAATTTAATTTGGAAGAAGTTTTTTTTTATAGTTTATGTCAGTGAATAAATGAATAATTTTTTAGAATATTTCCAAGGAAATTTTGCACAAAAAACGTGACTTATCTTAGATTGAGTCCTTCTCGCCTTGCGCACGTTTGGGAAATTTTTCTACTGCCTAATATAGAAATCTGAAATTTTATAGAAAAATATTGAAATTATTTTATTGGCAGAAAATTTTTACCTATTTCTCCCTACAGCTCCTTAAAATCCTCAAAATGTAATTTTTGAACAATTTATTTTGTAAAAACTGAAAACATTTTTTAAATTTCGCAGATGCAAAAAAACCACCGATCTACTTTTTCTACTGCAAAAGAACATAGGAAATGTTCCGCAGACAAAATGGTTTTCATAAAAACCATTCTATTATTGTGTTTTCACTTCTTGAGATTTGTTTTAATAGCACACCTTTTAGAATAAGGCTAAACTGAGATACTTTACCGAGTAAATTTAAACAGGCAGTCCCTTCATACTTACTATGCACCAAAAATCTTCAATACTGAATAACATTTTCTAATAATTTTATCAACAACATAAAATGCCTTAATCATAAAATATTTTCTTAAATTGGCATGACAAGAAAAAAATTTAACAAATCATGTCTCAATAAACTTTTGATTTCCGTTTTCAAATTTACTTTTCCTTTTAACACAATTATTTTTGTATAACTTTGTATTTCCGCGAATCAATTGCATTATGTCGAATATAATGTTATTTAATCCGGTTAAATCGCACTATATCATCGCGAATTTATCATGATTATGACAAAAAATATTACATAGGAGGGGTGGGGGGGTTCCTCAAAAATAACAAAAAATATACAAGAATGATTAATAATTTTATTCTTCTGCTCAAAATTTATTTACTCATAACATAAAAATTTTGTTGATTTTCGATTCATTTTTCATTTTGTATCATTTATCAAATATCATCGCATTAAAAATTGGTTCGTCGGATTATTTCCTTAAATATGTCGTGTTTTTTTCCTTTTTTGTGTTTCTAGATCCCAAAAATAAAAGTTAACTTTCATTTACTCATATCCTTAGATGATTTCGATATGTTTTTCAAATTTGGTCAATCACACTCATATTTATATACGCATTTTGTGTCATACTTTGCGATGTCTTTAATTAAGTATTATTATCGGAAATATCGGAAGTAAAGTCACCACTTTGATTTTCATTGCAACTGAATTTATATTGCAAATATATTGTAGCACACCTATGTGGAAGCTGCTGTGGCTTAAAGTTTAAGAACAATTAAATTTGCAAATCAATTTTAATTTGATTTTCAAATTCAATTAAACTTAAGCGGCAAGATTGAATATGGTTTATTCCGAAACGACAATATTCAATCTTGCATTCTGTGGGAATTTAGGGATCACACTATGAAATATACATTTTGTTAATGGGAATTATATTGGAATCAATAAAATCTTTTAAATCACATAACTTATAAATGAAACACAGAACTATGTGCTCTGTTTAAAATTTCCAGGTTAAGTAGCATTTTTACCTCTGTAGTAAATTAATGACAAAGTATATTTGACATATTGTAAATATATTATGTCCTTAGAGAAATTATAAAAAAACACAATTGATTCGATTGGTTACGGTACGTGTACGTGTGCTATTGAAGGTCAATTATTTAGGGGGAAAAAATGTTTTATTTTAAAAATAAAAGCAAATTTATTTATTATGTTTGTTTTTTCTTGTATTTTCAATACACACTTACATATGAATAGGATTAAGGTGAGAAAAAAATGAGTTAAGAGATAAAAAATGAAAATAAAAAAAAAATACAATGAAAATATTTTTACAGCTATAATTCTATTGACTCATGTCTCATAAATGCTTAGACATGTTTACTTGAGTGCCACGAGTATTTAAGAATTTAATTTTCGTTATTATTATTGGGATTTAAGAACTGTTGTATAATATAAATTTGTTAACGCAGTTTTATTTTATTTTCTAGCAATACGCTAGTGTTTTGTAAGAGAAAATCTTTTTAAAATCAGCTCTGTTCATGGCCATAATTACAACGGTTTTAGGGTTGATGAATTTCCAAAGCTTTATCTGTTTTACTCAAACTTATATCGTTTAGTTATTCTACAAAAAGGACAGCATTAGCTTAAAATTAGGGTATCACAAAAAATAAAAAGCAAAACTCCCAGCCCAGTTGTAATACCCGATTTCTCTCTGATCTCGAGCCGAATTTTCTGGTTTACTAAATTATGTGTTGTACAGGAAATTGTTAAATAAAAAATGGTGTGAATTTAAGCACGTTTTCATTAAACATTTTCGTTTACATAAGAGCACTTGTATTCAAGTAAGGAAGAAAATAAAAAAACCAAGAAAAAAGAAACCTTTTTTTTTTTGCCTTGGCATTAAATTTTATTTAACGAACAATAAAAACGTTTTCATTTCATTTTTCAAACTTCAAAAAAAAAAAAAAGTGTGTACGAAAAAATTTTAATGCAAAAGCGAAAAAACAAAAATCCTTGTATTTGGGATTTTTGAATTATCTTAAGGATTTAAAATGTAATTTGATATCAATGCTCATATGTGCATGTTTGTACGTATGTAAAATAAGAAAATAAAAAAAAAGACAAAATGGCTTATTTATGAACGTCATTTAAGATTATTTTAAACGGTTATTTTTAAGGTAATTTTCATAAAATCATCATGTATAAAATATTCAAAATTAAGTTCAAAATTTAATTGAGCCAAAAGGGAAAACTTTTAATGCTTCTTATATTTTTTTGTTTGGTTGTTTGTTTTTGCATAAAATTTCATTTGCAAATTCTATTACTTGGAAAAAATCGTTAAGCTTTTTTTTTGCTATATTATACAACAGAAACAAATGAAAGAAGATGGTCAGACGATTGCTTAGTTCAAGCATTCGATCCAGTAAAATAGTAGTCACTTAGTCAACAAACATGGCATAGCAGTACCAATACAACTACATTTAAAATAAATATTAAATTAAATTACTGCGCGGCGAGTTATTCGTGTATAAATAATGAAATAAGACGTCACATAAATTAAGAACAAAATCATTACTACTGTTGAGTCCGATCTTAAGCACCTTCGTACAAAAAACTAACGAATTAATGTGAATTTTTTTCATTACGTATCATTTTAAAATTAAAAAACTTGAGTAACTGGCATTCTCCCTGTAAGAAATTTAACCTAATAAACGCAAGAGCAACTACGTTACGCACCATAAGTTGATCAACAAAAATTATATCAGAAACCACTATACAACAACGAAGCGATAATGATATTTAATAATTAAAATTCATATAGCATTTCCATACAAATCAAGAAAATTTAAATTAAAAATTAAAAAAAAAAAAAATTTTATTATTTCAATTAAAAAAAAACACTCTCCTATACAATAGCATTAAAATTTTCAATTAAATAAGAATAACATAATTTTCATTAAAATTAATTAATTTATTAATTTATTTATTTATTTAATATTTTTTTCCCCCAGATTTTCAACTAATTAAAATTCAAACAAATGGAGTGAAAATGAAATAAAGAATAATATTAAAATCAACTGAATGAGTTAATTACAGTAAGCCGAAAAGGATAGCAGCATAACAACAATAAAAGAAAATTCTCATCTCAACTCAAAACTCATATACAATCATAAAAATAAAATCATGTTACCTTCATTCTTTCTATATTAAAGTCAATACCTTAATAAAGGCTATTAAAAATTCTCAAAATTAATTACAAAAATAAATTCATCGAATTTTTAATAAAAAATTAAAAAATCAACTTCATAACCAAAACAAAAAAATCATAATAATTAAATTATAATTTTTTTTTCACTAAAATTTTTAAGTTTTAAAATAATAATTTAAAAATTGTGTTATAATTGCTATCTTCATTATATTAGAGAAATAAAAGGTCACAAGGTATCTTCCAAACAAAAACAAGAACAAATAATCAAATTAAAAATATTATTTTACAAAATTAAATGACTAGAAAAATTCTGCAAGAAAAACCAAAAATGAATAAATCAAATTAATAAACTTAAAATAAAAAATAAAATAAATTTTGTATAAAAACAAAGAAATCTAAATAATAAATATTAAAATAAGAGAACCAGAAATTTATAATAAATTTTTTTTTAAAGAATACAAGTAAATTTAAAATAATATGGAAGAAAATATAAAAAAATAAATTAACATAAAATTATTATTTTAGAATAAATAATAAACTGGGACAGCAACAACAACAACAGCAAAAAAGTAAAGCATATAAAGGATCCGAGCATTTTAAATATTGTACAAGCAAATTTTTATTTTATTTTTTATAAATAATATGCAATAAATCTAAACGAAAAAAATATAATAAATAAAATATAATAAAAAAATACACAACAAACAAACAAAGCAACTAACCTGGAAATCAACAAAAAAAAAATCCTCAAAAAAAATTCCCAAAAATAAAAAGGATATTTTCTTTAGAGAGAAAACATTTTTGTTTTTTGTTCTTTTTGTGTTTTTGCATTCTTATCAATTTTTATAATTCATTCTATTTGTTCTCTTTCTTCATCTTCTTCTTGTTACTTGTATTTTACCTTTCTTATTCAACTGTTTTGTTTCTTCTTTTTATTATTATTGTTATTATTATTATTATGTATATTTTATTTTTGGAAGACAAAAGTTAACATTATGCTAACCTTATATAAAATAAACACAATATAATATTTAAGTATAACAAAAACAAAAAAACAGCAAAAATATATAAAACACAAATAATTACCAAGGATAAATTAAAATAATTCAATAAGATTTATATGAAAAGGTAAAAGGAACAAACATACAAGGATAATAGATGATTATTAAAAAAAAGAAAATAAAATAAAGTCAGAAAAAGAACACAACAATAACAAAAAGTGTAGAACAAAAAAAACCTTTATATGAATATATATGTATGTACAATTTCTATAAGTATATAACATTAAATATTATAGTAAATAAATTAGTAACATATTTTGTTTTGTTCTTTTTTTTTTTGTGTAAAAACAAGAGAATCATAATAATAATTTTGTATAGCATACATTTAGGAGCTTAATATTTAAAACATAATAATAATATTGTATAAAAGTATAACAGATATTAATTAAGAGTAAAACAAAAACTAATAATTCAAAAAGAGAAAAATTAAACTAATAAATTTAGTAAAACAACAAAATATTAATCAAATAAGATCAAAATTTATTAAAAGAAAACATTCTGAAGAAAAAAAAGAACTAATAAAAAATTAAATAAATAGAAAATCCAAAAATATTAATGGAATCCTAATAATTTTGTTAAAGGATGTTCATGAGCACACATGACCATACCAAAATTATAATTTACAATTAATGACAGTTGAGAATAATAAAATAATTGTTATACATTAAAATGAATAAGAAATATACTAAATGCTATACAAGTACCATTAAACTCAAAAGAGACCAAATTTTAAAAAACTCTTCATGAATAAAAGAGATAAAAAAACGAAAGAAAGAAAAGTCTCCGCCGATATATGAACTATACTGTATTTTACACGAAACATAATAAATTAGTAGAATTTCTCTAAAATTAACAAATTAAAAAAAAAAATCTCTCCAAAATCTCTCTCTTTCTCACAATAATCATTGTTGTTTCTATTAACAATATAATTAAACAAAAAACTCTACACAAAAACAAGAAAAATATATAAACAATAAAGTTGTTGAACACTTATGGAGTGCATTAATTAATTTTATATTGTGTTAAAATAATTAAAAATATTTCAAAACTCTCCAAATTTAAAAACACTTGAATAACTCATGAAAAAAACTCTCCAAAATTAATAGAAGTTTTGTTAATAAAATTTGAAAAAAATCCGATCAAAGCAATTTTTTTTTTCAAAATAATTTTTTTTTGTTTTTCTCTTTAGGACTTCACAATTTCAATTAAAACTTTCTAGGTAATTCATGGAAAAAATGTAGAAAATGTAGAAATTTCAAATTCAATATGAAAAATTTTTTGTCTATTTAAAATTCTTTCTATATATGTAATAAAAATATGTATAAAAAAAATGTTCAACTATTTCAACTTACAATTATAATTAATTAACTAGACTAACGGATTATTACAAAAATAGAGCAGGTGGACGATAAGAAAAAACGAAGTTTTGCATTATAAAAACTAGAACAAGAAAAAACGAAAACTTTTTTTTGTATTTAATTAAATTTTTGGATAAAAAAAACTCGAAATAAAGAAAATTATTTATGAAAAGAAAATTATTCAAAAACAAATTGCAAACACAGATGATTTTATTCACCACAGTGGAGAAATATTGAAAAAAAAAAAAGAAAAAACGAGAAATACAACGTAACTATGGCGTCCATAAAAAGTACGAATATTATTCAAATTCTTTTTTGTTTCCTCATCAATTTTAATGTTGGAAGTCTACAAAAAACCTCAAATATGGAAAAATCAACATTATATAATATTGGTGGTGTATTAAGTAGTAAAGATAGTGAAGCATATTTTTCGGATGTAATTTCGGTGAGTATACATGAAATTTATGTACAATTATAGTTCACATATAAATAATTTATATAATATTTTAAGAGTTTTGGAGAGTATAAGTAATTATTATGGGATTATTAGGTTCCTGTTACACATCGGAATAAATCTTAAGTTACATCCGATAATCCGATTAAATCTGATGGAGCAAATAGAAGAACTATCCGTTTACAATCAGATTTTCTGTCAGATTTTTTCGCATTTTTAAATTTTTCACAATAAATATTTGAAACATTTTTTGTCAAAAATTTGACGTAAAGTAATAAAATGAGCCTATAATGTATAATTGCTCATCAGTTTTTATTCTAGACTAAAGGGTGGATTTAGTCTGATGTATAACTGGCAGTTTAAGTTTTGATGTAAAAGTTTGTAATTATCATTTTAAGGGAATTGGACAGAATCAGATGACATGTGACAGATCGAAAAATTAACAATTAATAAATTTTAACAAAATGTCAATTTTCGACAAATTTTAACAAAAAGTTAAATTATATTGAAATTTCTTGGGCTTTTTGAAAATCTTTTCCAATCCCATAATTTTTTTATTTTATAATTAAAATTTGTTAACAACCAATTATGACAATGAATGTATGTCAAATACTGGGAATATAATGTGCAACCGACATTAGTTATGAATTCCAACGCGGCATAACGTATGCGTAATAAGTTCTAATATACGTTGCTAACGCAACTGATTATTATTCTAGTTGTTTTTTTTAGTGATTTTCTATATGTGACAAAAGGAATCACGAAGAAAATATTTTAATTTTGAAATTTTAAATTTTCCGATTTATTGAAATAATTTTTAAAATGTCAATTTCGAAAATTGCTTAATTATAGACGACTGACATTCGCAACATCATCTTTGACGTACTGGGGAATGGCTAATAATTAAATGTGTATGGATGGATGTGTGATTATTTTGTTTAATGTTCCGGGAATTAAATAATCAATACGAGCTAATCATTATTCGGCAAATATCCTTAAATTCAAAAAAATAAATGCAATGAAATTCATAATAAATTAAATTACGAGATTACATTCAGCTCTCAATCAAAAGAGAAATGAAAATCTACTATTTACATAACCTTAAAAAAACGATTTTTTTTAATTATCGCAAAATATCTTTAATATTATTTGCGTAATCACTTACGCTAAAAATTTATTTTAAAATTGATTTGAATTATGTGTGCATATTTAACAGGTTTTTTTTGTAAATCAATACGAGTAGTGTGTATGCTTTTTATGAAAATTTGTGTATTTGTGTTGCATAACCCTGACCTTTAAATTTTAGAACCTTTAATAATAATATATTGTATTTGTTATAAGGATATTATAAATAGGCGTGTTACAACAAATTGAATTAATTTTGAATGTTGTGGTGGTTTTTTTTGGAAATTTCAAATAACAAACGATAATTACGAAACGACAAAGAGAAAAAAAATTACAAAAAAAACCAGAATTTTTGAAATATAATGAAAATTTTATGAAAAACAAATTCAATTTTATTTAATTAGGAAATAGGGGGGAAAAATTAATTGAAAATATTTTTGCGTTTAATTAATTACGGTATAGAAAGAACCTCAATAACCTAATCAAAAGTAGATACCGCAAATGTTCAAGCGCGCATATTTGTAATACCAGTGGCTCTTAAACATTTCACACTTGTTTACCAACATTTATTTTATTACACGTGTCGCGATTCGCAACCCATATTGTTTTAATAATATTTGTTCTTCTAAAATTTTCTATGACAAACTTTTCTACTATAAATTGTGAGAGAAGTAAATACAATGTAAAGGAAAATAGGATAAATACATAATACATCAAAATAGGGTAAAGAGTGCTACACTGTAGCACATTTTATATTTATTTCTTCGGTTTACACAGTTCAGAAACAGTAAAGAAATTTCATTAACACCACCGTAAAGCAATTTTTCCATAAATTGGCGTACTTTATAGAAAGGAGTTGTGGTCCTCTAAAGTCTCAAGACGCATTCGGTACCAATATCTATCCTTGAAAAGAATATAGGTTTTTCAAATTTCGTTACTGTTGCAATAACGGGAGGACCGTGCCTATAAAGCAATATTCTTTTATATTATTACTCTTGCAAGCATAAAAGTTTCCACAGATTTTTTGTGTTATTCTACTATCCTTGGATTAATCTGCAAATTCGCCATGTTAAAATAGTAACTTGTAATATCAGAATTTCCATAATTTTGCCCATCATCTTTAAAAGAAAAGTAAAACAAAATTTTTGTTCTCAACTTTTCTTTTTATTTTCTAAAAAAGTAAATCTTCTATCAGAAAAAAAAAACAAGAAACCATAAAACTAATTTGAAAGAAAATTCAAGGTTTAGTTATGTTTTACACAGGCATAATTTTTTTTCCATTTTAATTTTTTTTTAAAATTTAATCAATTAGAAAACAAGTTGAATTTCTTCTTTCTCACATTTTCAATAACATTGACAATCTTTTACAATACTTAAATTCTAAAACAAAAGATAAACTACAAAACCTAACGGTTTCACAACATGAAAAGCATTAAAAAAACTGCTCCTATTGTAAAACTAAAGAAAATTAAATCTTAATTAAAATTCACTAATTGTTGTTATAAATGTAAAACTTGTTAAATGAGTGATGAAAATTAAAAAAAAAGTAATAAAAAGCTTTTGTTTCTTGATCAGCTCAAGGGGTTTTTACGTTTTTTCCTTCATTTCTTAAATAATCTTAAGAAACTTCTCAAACTAATTAAAAATAAGAATGAAAAAAAAACGAGTGTCTACTTTTCACTATAATTTGAGAAAATGAGTTGAATGCTATCACTTTCCATTGAGAGAAAGGAGAGTGAGTGCTTTCAGTCAGAAAATATGAGAAGTCACAGTTAATGTAAACTCAATTTTCTAGGACAGCAGACTTAAACAAGAAAATGATTTTGCAAAAAGTTTTAGGCATCTTCTTAAGCATCCTTCATTTTGTCATTCGCTACACCTATTGAAAATTTCATTTTAATTTAGTTTCTTTTTATATTCGTACGAACGAATATTCGAAGAGTGTTATAAATTTATTACTCTGTTTGTAACGCTAAGAAACAGACATCTGATATATAGATCCAAGTTCACGTTTTTGATTAGTATGCTGAATCAGTGCACGTTCAAGTGATATCTCAAAAACCTGTTAAGCTTCACACGTTTTTACCAACCGAAAAGAGTTGTTGCTGCAAGAACCCTATATAATTTGGATTCACTGTAAATGGTAATCTCTAAAAGCCCATCAGATACTATCAAGTTTAGTAATAGAATCATTCTGTGAAATTTTATTATTGAGATTGTTTTGGCAAGGTATGAAATAGTTTTTGAAGAAATTTGTCTTCAGTATCACAAAGTTGACACGATCAACCATTCCTTTTCTCGTGTTTTTTTTCTTCCAAAACTTTTACAATAACTTTAATAATCAAAACAAGGACATAAAATTTTAGTAAATTACATTGTTCTGGTTTAGTAGTAGTAGTAGTAGTAAGATAGGGGGGCTCCAACCGCGCGAAGCCCATGAACTATTCTATCAGAAAAGCCCCATCGGCAACCCCCAAAACCAACACCCAACAACCCTCATCCAATCCGACCCACCAGACTCCCTATCCAAACCTATTGTTTTGGTCACCCTACACGTGTGAGCCTCCGCCCCAGATCGGGAACCCAGCACACAGTCACTCTGCACATATTGCAAAGTGCCCCAAGTGGTCCCCTGCATCGACCCACCAAAGCGTACCCAACCGAAAAGGACGCCAAGGCACCAATCGCCGCCTTACTATTTATAAAAATTGCCAGCTCGCACCCCCCACCTGTTTAGAAGTAATCAATTTCACCGCCCTGAGCACCACCAAAATCTCTGCCTAGAAAAACCCCACATCCATTAGGTAGCCTAACCGATAGCTCTATCCCCAACTCCTCGGAGGAGACCCCCACCCCGCACTATCCATGGTCCTAGAACTATCCGTATAGATGAACATAGCCCCTCCGCACTGCAATTCTCCCTTTGTGGAACCACAACCCCGTAATCAACCCTCCAGTCGGTATATGGCAACACATAGTCAGGCCTAATGTTCATAGGCCGCATTCCTTATTCTCCCAGAATTCTACTGTGTGTGTTATCCCCTGTTTTGTGTATCCCCATACGTTTACACCCTTGCAGCCAAACAACGCGTTCGTGGCCGTCCTTACCCTATTCTCTATGTTTTCCCTCCACAGCAGCTTACTATCCACAATCACGCCCAGGTATCGCGCACAACCCGCCAAACCCAGTTCAACCACCGACATCCTGGCAGGGCAAACCCGGGCACCTTCCTTTTCCTCGTGAAAAATACCAGCTCCGTTTTTGCGGAGTTCACAGAAAGAGCCTATGATAACCTTCCATAACCAGGACCCCCTCTCCGACAAAATCCTGACCTTACTTGAGCCACACTCGGCCACTACAATCTTAGTAGTAAGCATTTGCCCTATCCATCTGAATATATCTTCCTCTACCCCTACATTCTCAAGAGCCCCTACGATAGCCTCAACCTTCACATTATTGAAAGCACCCTCAGCATGCAAGAAAGCGGTCAAAGTATACTCCTTGTATTGCACCGCGTGCAGCGCCATCTCCGCAGATTTCCTCTTCTGTAGGCATGCTGGTCATTTGACGGACCCGACACCCTTTCCTCATTTCTTATATATTTTTCCACTAATCTCTCCATGGTCCTCAGCGCAAAAGACGACAAGCTGATTGGTCGAAATTCCCTCGTGCTGACATGACAATTCCCGCCAGGCTTCGGCACAAAAACCGTTCTTTCCTCTCTCCATTCTCTAGGGACATACCAGGCAGCTACGAAAAATTACCACCAACCAATCAATGATAACTCTCGGTGCCCTCCGCAGCATAATAGGCTACTCTCCATCTGTTCCTGGAGACTTGCCTCCGTTCCTCTCGTCGGGACCCT